TCTACGCCCCGTCTCAAATCACGTTGCATCGCCTGGTCCTAGGCGTACCTCTTCCGCCAGTGGGTGACATCTTAACTGGGTGGACACCGATCCACGTCCCATCATTTGATTAGTGACTTTACCACAGTTACACCTTCGTCGCAGAGTCATATCCCATCACCCGGTCCCAGATCCTTGTCCCAGATTGTTCCATGTAAATCGTTCCAGATCGCTCCGTCCCAGGTCGATCCATACCCATTAGTCTAACGACAGTTGGATCGGTTCGCCGATCCCGTTAAGATCATCTTCCACCTCCGTATTGGATCGCCGAGTCTCATGGCCTCCTTTTCCACCAGTAAGCGGCGCTTTAAAGATGTGGCCACCGATCCTCGTACAAAATTTGAGTAGTGACTTTGCCACAGTCTCATCATCCTACGCGTCTAATCAACTATGGTAATTACCGTAAGAACTACGTCGTAAATACTAAGCTGAACAGGCGGTTCGGATTGGATCGGTCACGGTTACCAATACTGGTAGAAAACCGATGACCGTCAACACGCCCCCTCAATCCGAATGCTCACGAATCCCGAGAGCCGTCGTCATCTCCTTGTGACGTGGTCCATGAAGTGCCTTGGTCATGATGCCTGCTTACATCACCGTAGTCTTACAGTACTTGAGCTTGACTTGGCCGCGCTAGACCTCATCACGGATGTGATGGTACTTGATGTCGACGTGCTTGGCACGGCCATGGTTGACCGGGTTCTTCGTCATCTTGATACATGACTGATTGTCTTCATGAATCATGAGTTCCGGTCCTTCTTCATTGGCAGCCATCACGATCTCACAAAGCAGACGATGAATCCACTTGCCCTCTTGAATCGCCAAGCTGAGTGCGATGTATTCAGCTTCAGTCGTGGACAACGAAACACTTGGCTGCTTCTTGCTGCCCCAACTCACTGGCGCACCGAGTAGCATAAACGTGTACCCCGATGTTGACTTGCGGTCGGTAAGATCACCAGCCCAATCCGCATCCGAATATCCACGAAGTCGATCCTTGCACTTGGCTTGTAGCAAATTCCATGCGTCTTGGTGCCTTGTAGGCAGCGAAAGATACGCTTAACTGCAACCCAGTGTTCTTCTTGGGGATTTTCCATGAACCGCGACACATAGCCCACAGCAAACGCAATGTCCGGACGCGTTGCAGTGGTCAGGTGCATCAACGCACCAACAGCTTCGCGAAAAGGAGCATCGACCTTGGTAGTTGCATCACTTGAAACAAGTCGAGAGCTCATGTCGACTGGACTTGCGACTGCCTTGCAATCATCCATGCCAAAGCGCTTGAGGATATCATCGACATACCGACGCTGACATAGTGTCACACTGCTATCTTCACCGTCCAAAAGCTCGATCCCAAGAACAAACGCACACTTGCCGCTGTCCGTCATCTCGAACCGCGTCTTCAGGTCGTTCTTGGTTTGTGCAATCAGCTCGAGCGATCTTCCAGTCACCAAGACGTCGTCCACGTAGACCAGTATAAACACGCAATGGCCGTCCGAAGTCTTGATGTAGAGACATGGGTCGAATTCCGATACTTGAAATCCGATGGAGCACACATACTCGTCGAACGTCTCGTTCCACACTCGCGACGCTTGCTTGAGGCCGTAAATTGACTTCACCAATTCCAGGCAGTCGAACGTACTGTCAAGTTCGACGCCTTCAGGAATCACGCAGAACACTTGTTCCTTCATGACGCCATACAGGAAAGCTGTCACCACATCAAGCTGGTCGATGGGCCATCCAAAATGCTTGGAAATTGCGATCACCATTCGCAGCGTCACATACTTGACCACAGGCGAAAACGTCTCCGTGTAGTCGATGCCATACTTTTGGCGGAAACCCTTGGCCACAAGTCGTGCCTTGTACTTCTCGATTGACCCATCCGCCTTGCGCTTGATCTTGAACACCCATTTTGTGCCAATGGCGCGTTGTCCGTTGGGCAGCTTGGCTGCACGAAACACACCGCGAAGTCGCATTGACTCGAGCTCTGCATGAATTGCTTTTCTCCAGTGCACTTGGTCAGGGCCGCTTACTGCTGCTTCAAATGTTGAGGGCTCTGATAAGTCCACTGCTGCTTCAACGGCATTTGCACTCGCACGCCAAAACACAGGCAGTGTTGAATCACCAGAATCCTTCGTTTCTTCGTCTTCTTCTTGGCGTGACGAGTTGTTTTCCGGCGCGCTTGACTCTTCTAGTCCTGGTCGTTGACGCACTGCACGCGGTCGTGGAGCTGCTGTATCTTCATCATTGAGTCGGTTCTTGCGCTTGCCTGTTTGCTTGTAATCCATTTGACGCAGCTCCTTGTCATCAAGATCCAGCAATTCGAAGTCCAGGTCATCGACATCTTTATCAGTGATCGGCAGTTGAAGTCCAAAGGTGGACTCGTCGAAGTTGACATCGCGGCTGATAACCACCTGCCCCGCCTCAATGTCAAATACACGATATGCCTTGGACACTTCTTCGTAGCCCACGAATATGCCAGCGCGAGCCTTGGGATCCCACTTGAGTCGCTTCTCCTTCGGCGTCAGTATATATGTCTGACAACCGAATTCTCGTATGTGCTTGACACTTGGCTTGGAGTTGTACACGATCTCAAACGGGGTCTTGTGCACAACTTTGGATGACGGTAGGCGATTCTTGATGTAGATGGCCGTCATTGGTGCTTCAGCCCAGAAGCACTTGTCCAACTTGGCATGGTGAAGCATGGTGCGGCCGATCGTGACGATAGTCCGGATGGCGCGCTCTGCTGTTCTGTTGGTCTGGTGTGCATACGGCACCGTAGTCTGTTGTTCAATGCCTTCATCCTCGTAGAACAGTTGAAGCAAGTTGGCTGCAAACTCGCGAGCTCCGTCGTGTCGCACGAACTTGACCTTCTTACAGAATTGCGTCTGTACCATGGTGATATGTTTCCGGATGTAGTCTTCACTCTCGGACTTCACTCGTAGACAAAAGCCCTTCATGCATCCACTGGCTTCGTCGATGATCAGCAGCAAATATTTGCTGCCACCGAGCGAATCCTTTTCCATGGGCCCGCAGATGTCCAGATGAAGTAGCTCAAACGTATCGTAGCTGCGCTTGTCTCGGTTGCTTGGAAATGGTTTTTGGACCATTTTCCCTTGTTGACATCCTCGACATGTAGTTGCTCCACCCGACTTGAGAGGGACTCGCACATCCTTGATCATGTTGGTCGCGATCATCTTGCGAAGTACATCGACTGGAGCATGACCCATTCTCGCATGTAGATCGGCACAACTGGTTCCACTTGTTGTCACATTCGCTGATCGTTGAGTCGTCCGAAGCCAGTAGAGTCCATCCACGAGATCCACTGTCGCCACCACTTGCTGTGAGTTCTTGAGAGTCACATACATCTTGGACCCATCAAACACGACTTGAAACTTGCCATGGCTGTTAATCTGTGGCACCGAGAGCAGGTTCTTGCTCATACTTGGAACATATAGCGCGTTCTTGATTTCGATTTCACGCTCTTCACCATTTGGCAGAACCACCTTCTCAATGATGGTTCCCACACCCTTGATGTCGACCTTGTTGCCATCAGCAACCAAGAGTTCGCCCTCATTGCGCTCTGCCAAACTTGCGAACTTGGTCTTGTCGTGGCAAATGTGGTGCGTAGCACCACTGTCGACGGCCCACATTCCAGACACGTCCTTGCTCGTCGAAACTCCACATTCGAACGAGACTGCAAACGCCACTCGATCGTAGCCATTGCCTTCATCATGATGTCCCCACTGGACATTGTTAGCCCCGCGTCCACGACCATTGCCGCCGCGTCGGGCTCCCCGACCTTCGTTCTTCTGCTTTGCCCAGCAACGATCCACCGTGTGTCCCACCTTGCCACAATACGTGCATTGGTAGGGCTCACGTTCGGCGCTGAATGCCTTGCTTGCATCTTCAGCCTTCACCGTAGTCGCTGTCGTTGTCCCTTTTTCTCCTTGACGCTTGGCATGCTCATTCGTCAGGACTCTCACCACATCTTGAGTGCGAAGCTCGGTGCTGCTCATTTCCATGTTGAGCACCACATTTTCGTAGCTCTTCGGAAGACTGAGTAGCAGACAAATTGCAACGTCTTCGTCTTCCATCTTCGCACCGATGCCGCTAAGCTTGGCGGAGATGTTGAGGACCTCGTTGCAGTGATGCATGACGTTCGCGCCTTCAGCCATCTTGATACTGAAAAGTTGTCGCTTGAGGTAGATGCGTCCTGCCTTCTGCGACCCACCGTACAGCGTCTTCAGACTTGTCCACGCAACCCAGGCTTCCTCGCAGTTGTCCAGCACATGATGGTAGTCCGCGTTCATGTGCAGCAGCATCATACCAAACGCGACGTTGCTTGCCTTGACGTAGTCATCGGACGCTCGCGGGTCGGTGAACGTCGGAGTCACTTCACGGTTGACGACGTGCCAGACGGACTTCGTCAAAAACACACCGCGCATGTACCGGCTCCACGTTGCGTAATTGTCTCCGTTGAACTTGTCAATGGAGGCGTTGCTGGTGGACGACATGGCGCTTGGGCTCATAACCTGTTGCATTGTAGATCGGAGCGAGGAAAGCGGAGCGAACGGAGCGGAGAGACCGAAGAGAGTAGAGCAGAAAACACTTGCCCAATAGTTGGAAGATTCGAAAGTGATTGATTATCGGGGCTTACTACTTACTACATGATTTATATGTGGTGTACATATAAAACATGTGAAGCGTCTCATCATCCTACGCGTCTAATCAACTATGGTAATTACCGTAAGAACTACGTCGTAAATACTAAGCTGAACAGGCGGTTCGGATTGGATCGGTCACGGTTACCAAAACTGGTAGAAAACCGATGACCGTCAACATAAACTAAGCTGAGCAGGCGGCTCGGATTGAACCGGTCACGGCTACGAATACTGGTAGAAAAACGATGACCGTCAACACGCCTTCTTAATCCGAACGTGTACAGATGCCTAGCGCCGCCGTTAAGTCCTTGTGGCGCGGTCCGTAAATCCCTTGGTCATAATTTCTGCCAGCATCACCGTCATCTCGCAGTATCCAAGCTTCACTTCACCACGCTTGACTTCATCGCGAATGTGATGGTACTTGATATCAATGTGTTTGGCGCGGCCATGATTCACCGGATTCTTCGTCATCTTGATGCACGACTGGTTGTCTTCACGGATGACGAGGTCCGGTCCTGGTTCGTTTGCGGCCGCCAAAATCTCGCATAGCAGGCGATGCACCCACTTGCCTTCCTGGATGGCCAGGCTCAGTGCGATGTATTCCGCTTCACTCGTCGACAGCGACACACTTGACTGCTTCTTGCTTCCCCAACTCACAGGAGCACCCATCAGCATGAAAGTGTAACTCGAAGTCGACTTGCGATCAGCGTGGTCGCCGGCCCAGTCCGCGTCCGAGTAGCCACGAAAGTCGATCTTGTCGCTTGGCTGGAAGCGGAGTCCGTGCGACTTGGTCCCTTGCAAGTAACGAAAGATGCGCTTCACCGCCGTCCAATGTTCTTGCTGCGGATTCTCCATGAAGCGCGAGACGTACCCCAGAGCATACGCAATGTCCGGGCGCTTCGCAGTCGTCAAGTGCATCAAAGCTCCCACAGCTTCACGAAACGGAACGTCGATCTTGGCCGCTTCGCTGCTTGCGACAAGCCGAGTGCTCAAGTCGACCGGACTTGCTGTGGCCTTGCACTCATCCATGCCGAAGCGCTTGAGGATGTCGTTGACATACCGTCGCTGGCACATCGTCACGCTGCCATCCGATTCGTCCACCAGTTCGATGCCCAGTACAAAAGTACACTTGCCACTGTCGGTCATCTCGAAACGCGTCTTGAGGTCGGCCTTCGTATGCGCAATCAACTCGAGCGAGCTGCCGGTGACCAACACGTCATCCACGTAGACCAGCACGAGCACACAGTGACCGTCGACAACCTTGATGTAGAGACATGGGTCGAACGCCGACGCTTCGAAACCGATAGAGCATACGAACTCGTCGAAAGTCTCGTTCCACACACGTGAAGCTTGCTTGAGACCGTAGATCGCCTTCACCAACTCGAGACAGTCGAAGTCGCCATCCATCTCGACGCCTTCTGGTATCACGCAGTACACCTTCTCCTTCATCACTCCGTAGAGAAAGGCTGTCACCACATCGAGTTGGTCCAGTGGCCAGTCGAAATACTTGGTGATCGCGATCACCATACGCAGTGTCACGTACTTGACCACGGGTGAGAACGTCTCTGTGTAGTCGATGCCGTACTTCTGCTTGAAGCCCTTGGCAACGAGACGCGCCTTGTATTTCTCGACCGATCCATCCGCTTTGCGCTTGATCTTGAACACCCACTTGGTGCCGATCGCGCCTTGGCCTCTTGGCAGTTTTTCCGCACGGAAAACTCCACGAAGATGCATCGTCTTGAGTTCCGCCTTCACAGCATTTCACCAGTGAGCTTGATCAGGACCATTGATCGCGTCTTGAAAAGTCACAGGTTCTGCTAGGTCCGTTGTTTCCACTGCGTTTGCACTTGCACGCCAAAATGTTGGAGGCGTCGAGTCGTCATCTTGATTGTAGACGCTTGCATCTTCTTCGTCATCAGACATCGTTTCTGGAGCACTTGATCGTCGTTTCTGGTGACGGTTGGAGACGTGTTCCGGCGCACTTGCTTGTTCCAACCCAGTTCGAGGGCGAGCTGAACGTGACATGCCGGGTCTTGCTTCACTCTTGCGCTTGCCAGTCTGCTTGTAGACGGTTTGACGCACGTCGTCCTCGTTGATAACCTCGCCAGGAGGTCGAGGTCCAACTCCGCATCTTCATCATCGTCACTTGGTCGGTCCATCGAAAAGTCAAAAGTCGATTCGTCGAAGGTGATGTCACGACTGATCATCACTTGGCCCGCCTCAATGTCGTACACTCGATAAGCTTTTGACGCTTCTTCGTAGCCCATGAACATCCCTTCACGAGCCTTCGGGTCCCACTTCAATCGCTTCTCCCTTGGTGTCAGGATAAACGCCCGACATCCAAACACGCGCATGTGCTTGACACTTGGTTTCGACTTGTACACGATTTCGAACGGAGTCTTGTGGTCGATCTTGGGTGAAGGCAGGCGGTTCTTGATGTAGATCGCCGTCATTGCCGCTTCAGCCCAGAAACACTTCTCCAGCTTTGCATGATGCAACAAGCTGCGTCCGATCGTGACGATGGTCCTTATCGCGCGTTCTGCGGTGCCGTTGGTCTGGTGTGCATACGGCACCGTGATCTGTTGTTCGATACCATGATCTTCGTAGAAGGTCTTGATCGAGTTGGTCGCAAACTCATGCGCTCCATCGTGCCGAACAAACTTGATCTTCGTGCCGAACTGAGTCTGAATCTTGATAATGTGGTTCTTGATACAGTCTTCACTCTCAGACTTGGACCGCAGACAGAAGCCCTTCATGCAGCCGCTGGCTTCGTCAACCACAAGCAGTAAGTATCTGCTGCCGCCGATCGAGACTTGTTCCATTGGCCCGCAGATGTCGAAGTGCAGCAACTCGAACACACCATATTGGCGTTTGTCACGGTTGGTTGGAAATGGTTTTTGGACCATCTTTCCTTGCTGGCAACCGCGACACACACTTGGACCAGTCGAGTTGAGAGGTGCCTTGGCGTCCTTGATCATGCCAGTGGCCACCATCATGCGCAGAACTTCAAGAGGTGCATGACCCATGCGCGCATGCAAGTCGATAGTCCCATTGCGAGTTGCTGCATTTGCCGATCGTTGAGGATTCCGCAGCCAGTAATGTCCATCGACGAGATCCGCTGTTGCCACGACTTGTGTGGAATTCTTGCGCTTCACTTGCATCTTGGATCCATCGAACACGACTTGGAACCTGCCACCCTTCTTGATCTGTGACACCGAAAGCATATTCTTGCTCATACTTGGTACGAACAGTGCGTCCTTGATCTCGATGTCGCGTTCGTCACCATTGGGCAGAACCACCCGTTCCATGATGGTTCCCACACCCTTGATCGCAGCCGTGCTGCCATCAGCCACTGATAGTTCGCCTTCCTCTCGCTCATTAAGGCTTGCAAACTTGGCTTTGTCGTTGCAGATGTGATGCGTCGCACCGCTGTCGACTGCCCACATCCCTGGCATATTCTTGCCCGTCGACAGTCCAGCCTCCAGCGAAACCGTGAACGCAACTCGATCGTAGTTGTCGTCGTTGTTGTTGTTGGTTCGCCACTGAACGTTGTTGGCTCCGCGTCCACGAGCATTGTTGCCGCCGCGTCGAGCTCCACCTTGATTTTCGTCCTTCTGCTTGGCCCAGCATCGGTCCATCGTATGCCCCAATTTTCCGCAGTACGTGCAATGATGCGGTTCACGCTCGGTGCTAAACGCCTTGGCCGCGTCTTCAGTCTTCACCGATGTCGTCTTGTCACCTTGCCGCTTGACATGCTCGTTCGTGAGCACTTGCACGACGTCCCGCGATTGAAGCTCTGCGCTGCTCATCTCCAAGTTGAGAACCACGTTCTCGAAACTCTTGGGCAGACTGCGCAGTAAGCAGATCGCAACGTCCTCGTCCTACATCTTGGCGCCGATACTAGCCAGCTTTGCGCTGATGTTGAGGACCTCATTGCAATGATGCAACACATTGCCGCTCTGTCATCTCCATACTGAAGAGCTGGCGCTTCAAGCAGATGTGCCCAGCCTTCTGAGATCCGCCGTACAGTGTCTTCAAACGCGCCCACGCGACCCACGCCTCTTCACAGTCATCAACCACGTGATGATAATCCGCGCTCATGTGCAGCAGCATCAAGCCGAACGCAATGTTGTTCGTCTTGACGTAGTCGTCACTGGCGCGAGGATCGGCGAAGGTGGGGGTGGTCTCCCGGTTCACCACGTGCCACGCCGACTTGGTCAGGAACACGCCACGCATGTAGCGGCTCCACATCGCGTAGTTGTCGCCGTCGAACTTGTCAATGGAGATCTTGGTGGTGGCATCATGAGCAGAGGACATCGTGCTTGGGCTCATAACCTGTTGGTTGGTGAAAAGCTTGACGACCGAAACTGGGAGGGATGCTAAGAGTCCACTCGGAAGACCGGAGAAGACACTTGGGGTAGATGGAAGATTGGAAAGTGATTGATTATCGGGGCTTACTACTTACTACATGATTTATATGTGGTGCGCATATAAATCATGTGAAGCGTCTCATCATCCTACGCGTCTAATCAACTATGGTAATTACTGTAAGAACTACGTCGTAAATACTAAGCTGAACAGGCGGTTCGGATTGGACCGGTCACGGTTACCAATACTGGTAGAAACCGATGACCGTCAACACGCCCCCTCAATCCGAACTCGCACGAATGCCGAGAGCCGTCGTCAAGTCCTTGTGGCGAGGTCCCGAAAGTCCCTTGGTCATAATGTCCGCCATCATCACGGAAGTCTCGCAATACTCGAGCTGCACTTCACCGCGCTTGACCTCATCACGGATGTGATGGTACTTGATGTCGATGTGCTTGGCGCGGCCATGATTCACCGGATTCTTCGTCATCTTGATGCACGACTGGTTGTCTTCACGGATGACGAGGTCCGGTCCTGGTTCGTTTGCGGCCGCCAAAATCTTGCATAGCAGGCGATGCACCCACTTGCCTTCCTGGATGGCCAGGCTCAGTGCGATGTATTCCGCTTCACTCGTCGACAGCGACACACTTGACTGCTTCTTGCTTCCCCAACTCACAGGAGCACCCATCAGCATGAAAGTGTAACCCGAAGTCGACTTGCGATCAGCGTGGTCGCCGGCCCAGTCCGCGTCCGAGTAGCCACGAAAGTCGATCTTGTCGCTTGGCTGGAAGCGGAGTCCGTGCGACTTGGTCCCTTGCAAGTAACGAAAGATGCTCTTCACCGCCGTCCAATGTTCTTGCTGCGGATTCTCCATGAAGCGCGAGACGTACCCCACAGCATACGCAATGTCCGGGCGCGTCGCAGTCGTCAAGTGCATCAAAGCTCCTACAGCTTCACGAAACGGAACGTCGATCTTGGCCGCTTCGCTGCTTCCGACAAGCCGAGTGCTCAAGTCGACCGGACTTGCTGTGGCCTTGCACTCATCCATGCCGAAGCGCTTGAGGATGTCGTTGACAACCGTCGCTGGCACATCGTCACGCTGCCATCCGATTCGTCCACCAGTTCGATGCCCAGTACAAAAGTACACTTGCCACTGTCGGTCATCTCGAAACGCGTCTTGAGGTCGGCCTTCGTATGCGCAATCAACTCGAGCGAGCTGCCGGTGACCAACACGTCATCCACGTAGACCAGCACGAGCACACAGTGACCGTCGACAACCTTGATGTAGAGACATGGGTCGAACGCCGACGCTTCGAAACCGATAGAGCATACGAACTCGTCGAAAGTCTCGTTCCACACACGTGAAGCTTGCTTGAGACCGTAGATCGCCTTCACCAACTCGAGACAGTCGAAGTCGCCATCCATCTCGACGCCTTCTGGTATCACGCAGTACACCTTCTCCTTCATCACTCCGTAGAGAAAGGCTGTCACCATATCGAGTTGGTCCAGTGGCCAGTCGAAATACTTGGTGATCGCGATCACCATACGCAGTGTCACGTACTTGACCACGGGTGAGAACGTCTCTGTGTAGTCGATGCCGTACTTCTGCTTGAAGCCCTTGGCAACGAGACGCGCCTTGTATTTCTCGACCGATCCATCCGCTTTGCGCTTGATCTTGAACACCCACTTGGTGCCGATCGCGCCTTGGCCTCTTGGCAGTTTTTCCGCACGGAAAACTCCACGAAGATGCATCGTCTTGAGTTCCGCCTTCACAGCATTTCACCAGTGAGCTTGATCAGGACCATTGATCGCGTCTTGAAAAGTCACAGGTTCTGCTAGGTCCGTTGTTTCCACTGCGTTTGCACTTGCACGCCAAAATGTTGGAGGCGTCGAGTCGTCATCTTGATCGTAGACGCTTGCATCTTCTTCGTCATCAGACATCGTTTCTGGAGCACTTGATCGTCGTTTCTGGTGACGGTTGGAGACGTGTTCCGGCGCACTTGCTTGTTCCAACCCAGTTCGAGGGCGAGCTGAACGTGACATGCCGGGTCTTGCTTCACTCTTGCGCTTGCCAGTCTGCTTGTAGACGGTTTGACGCACGTCGTCCTCGTTGATAACCTCGCCAGGAGGTCGAGGTCCAACTCCGCATCTTCATCATCGTCACTTGGTCGGTCCATTGAAAAGTCAAAAGTCGATTCGTCGAAGGTGATGTCACGACTGATCACCACTTGGCCCGCCTCAATGTCGTACACTCGATAAGCTTTTGACGCTTCTTCGTAGCCCATGAACATCCCTTCACGAGCCTTCGGGTCCCACTTCAATCGCTTCTCCCTTGGTGTCAGGATAAACGCCCGACATCCAAACACGCGCATGTGCTTGACACTTGGTTTCGACTTGTACACGATTTCGAACGGAGTCTTGTGGTCGATCTTGGGTGAAGGCAGGCGGTTCTTGATGTAGATCGCCGTCATTGCCGCTTCAGCCCAGAAACACTTCTCCAGCTTTTCATGATGCAACAAGCTGCGTCCGATCGTGACGATGGTCCTTATCGCGCGTTCTGCGGTGCCGTTGGTCTGGTGTGCATACGGCACCGTGATCTGTTGTTCGATACCATGATCTTCGTAGAAGGTCTTGATCGAGTTGGTCGCAAACTCATGCGCTCCATCGTGCCGAACAAACTTGATCTTCGTGCCGAACTGAGTCTGAATCTTGATAATGTGGTTCTTGATACAGTCTTCACTCTCAGACTTGGACCGCAGACAGAAGCCCTTCATGCAGCCGCTGGCTTCGTCAACCACAAGCAGTAAGTATCTGCTGCCGCCGATCGAGACTTGTTCCATTGGCCCGCAGATGTTGAAGTGCAGCAACTCAGACACACCATATTGGCGTTTATCACGGTTGGTTCGAAATGGTTTTTGGACCATCTTTCCTTGCTGGCAACCGCGACACACACTTGGACCAGT